AAGTGTTGTTGTGATGGTGGAGTGACCTTCTGATACAAACTGCCTGTCATGCACCACACAGCAGGCAGGGGGCACAATTTAGCAGCAACTCGACTGCCTGCGTGCAACCTAGGGGTGGGGGGTGGGGGGGGCATTGTGGTTGCTTGCCCCGGGCGCCAAATAGGCTAGGACCGCCACTGAAGCGCAGAGTACTGTCTAAAAATAATTAGCAGACATGAATTTACCACATTTAAGTTTAGCAGGGGCTGATTCTGTTATTGGTTTTCAAAGTTAGCAAAAATGCAAATCCTCTACACGGAAAGACGGGGTCCGTTTGAAAATAGGATGGTCATGTCAAAATCCAAGATGGCTGCAGACAGTATATCGCTGTATAAGTTCTATCTTCTCTTATGTTGTCATCATTGAATGTTCCCATTCAGTGACGAAACTGGTTCTCCGCATTTATCCCATCGCACCTGACATACACCCAGGTGAAGCAGTGGGCAGGTATTGAGCACCCGGAGAGCAATTGGGGATTGGGTGTCTTGCTCAGAGACACCACGGCATGGGGAATGGCTGGGAGTCGAACCGCGACTTTCTGGTCCCAAGTCAGCTGGCCTGCCTCTACCCCCTCTCAGTCCCCATCAGTGCTGGGCATGGTTCCACTAACTTCTGCTGTAGCCACACACCAAAATGGAAGTCGGCACTTCACTTAGTTTTCAAGTTATCGTGCTCACAACGTGCACCCACAGGCGGACAGATGGATGGAGGGTATTTCAAACCCCCTCTTCGCTCTGCGGTGGGGCACAATAAAAGAGCTCCACATCTGAAAATAAACTTAACGTTATCTTTCAGAACTACTCGTCTGTGTCCTACGAGCATCACAGACGATGGGGACGATCAGAACTCTCATACCTGTGGTTTTGTTGACAGGAAGTTTTGCTGAACAGCTTTCAGCCTCAAAAACTACCAGAACCTGGCAAAGAGGAGCTTCTTCTTCCACAGCAAAGTGCTTCAATTAGCTTGACCCTTTTAAAACCCAAGAATAAAATGGATGCAGAAGAATGTAGACTCACCAAATTTATCCCCAAAAGCCAAATATTTGCCTTTATGGCGGCATTACATCAGCACCTGATTAGAGACAC